GCTGTGTCTGGCTTCTTCACATAGCATAATGTTTTGAAGATTCTTCCACATTGTAGTACGTATTAGTGCTTTATTCTTTTTTATGGCTGAGCAATAATTCATTGTATGGACATACCATATTTTCTTAATCCGTTCATCAGTTGATGCACAGTTTAGGTTATTTCCACTTTGGGGCCATTATGAATAATGCTACTATAAACACTTGTGAACAAGTCTCTGTGTAGATATATATTTTTATTTATTTTGTAGATGTACCTAGGAATGAAATTGCTAGATCATATATTAACACTATGTTTAATTGTTTGAGGAACTACCAGACTGTTTGCCAAAGAAGCTATTTTACATTCGTATCAGCGGTGTATGTTGCCAGTTTCTCTACATCCTTGCCAATACTTGTTATCATCTGTGTATTGATTTTAGTATCCAAGTGGGTACGAAGTAGTATCTCTTTGTGGTTTTGATTTGCATTCCTCTGATGACTAATGATGCTGAACATCTTTCCATATACTTATTGGCCATTTTATTTTTAGGCACGTATCCTTGGAGAAATGTCCACTCTGATCCTTTGCCCATTTTCAGTTGGGTTATTTATCTTTTTATTGTTGAGAAAAGTCAGGATTTTGACCCAGGAAATCTGGCCCCGCAACCTGTGGGTCTAACTCTCATGCTCTCCTCCCTCTTGCTATGCATCATGGTTACAAAGTGGTACAAATTTTGTTTTATTAGTATTTACTCTAGGTAAGAAGTAGGATGAAAAGACATTTAAAAACTGGAAAATATAGCTTCTCTTGGAGGTGATAACTCTCTTGGTTTGGGAAAAAAACATTTATAACACCTTTAGGAAGGCAACAGGTACCCAATGGAGACAGTTTAATAAAGAAATAGCTAAACTGCCTCGCATGAGAAGATAAAGGAATTTGGGGGTTTGGGTGAATAGTCAAAAAGGAACAAAGATAAGACTCCCTAAAGAAGACAGTTAACAAATCGTCACATTGCATACTTTAAATATCTTACAATTTTCACACTACTATATATAAAATAGATAACCAACAAGGACCTACTGTATACACAGGGAACTATACTCAGTATTTTGTAATAACCTGTAAGGGAAAAGAATCTGAAAAAGAATATATATATACATATATATATACACAACACACATATGTGTGTGGGTTTGTATAACAATATCTGTGCTGTATACTTGAAACTAACACAACACTTTAAATCAACTAGACTTCAATAAAATAAAAATTTAAAAATCTTACAATTTTATTTGTCAGTTGTGCCTCAAGAAAACAAGGAGGAGGAGGAGGGGGAGGGGAGGGAGGGCGAAGGGGGGAGGGGGGAGGGGAGGAAGAAAAGAAGAGTAGTATTAGTAAGAAACATGTCAGGAACTAGAGTTTATAGATAAAAGTAACCAGTGAAAATTTTTCAGTGTCAGGGTAACCAAAGGACTTTAAGAAAGGCCTGTTTAAAGTTTAGTATTAAGTCAATTATGTTGCTGAATTATAAACCCCCTCCATTTTCCCAAATGTTGGAAAAATCACACAATGTGTGAATTCACAGAAATCTTCGGGAGATTGATTGTTGGTCTTCCCAATAGATATAGGAAAGGGATCTAAGCCAACTTTATGTAAAATCAAAAGATGGGATGATTTCACTAACATTTGATTACCTCTTATCATTAAAATGTAACACAGTGATCAAGGATTGTTAAAATAAATGTGGCAGAGTGAATTGATGAGACCTTAAACTTATGTTTTGCTTTTCACTGCTCTGAAAAGAAATCTCCATGTTGATTGTTAGGGGTGGGTGTAGGGGAGCCAGATGTCATATCATAGTATGAATGTGGTCCGATGGTGCCCAGCACTGTAAGTATGTGGATAGGACACCAGTAATAAGATTTGAAATGTATGGAGCTAGAAGCTAATCAGTGGAAAATTCTTCCAATCATCAGGAGTATAAAAGGTAAGTGGAATGTGGACTGTTTTGTTCTCATCAATGCCCAGTCAAAATGGAAATTATTCAATAATGCAGCATATACAATTACAAATGTACCATTTTTTCTTGTTTTTTTGGTGTGAATACATGAAAAATAATTGATCAGAATTTCCGTTTCTAGGGCGGCAATACTACAAACCACGAGTGTATGTGACTGTGTATGAAAGCGCATAATTTATGCAACTATCAATAATTCAAAACAAATTTGAATAAAACCTCAATCTAAGCATGAGAAAACATCAGACAACCCAAATTTAGAGGCATTCTACAAAATAACTGGCCAGTACTCTTCAAACGTGCCATTGTACCTAACAACTAAATGCAGTGTGGGGTCCTGAGTTAGATCCTGTTCAAGAAATGGAACATTAGTGGGAAAACTGGTGAAAATAGAATAAGTCCTTCAGTTTACTTACTATTATTATACAAATGTTAATTTCCTAGTTTTAATCATTGTACTAAAATTATTTAAGATGTTAACATTAGGGGAAGCTGTATGAAGGGTACATGGGATCTTTCAGTACTATTTTTTCAACTTCTCTGTAACCCTTAAAAATAAAAATTTTTTTAAACAAATTTGATCATCCATGATAGAGGTAAGGCTGCACTATCTTTTAATTCTGTCTATGGAAAATGGTATTTAGAAAATCATTGTCACAGCAAGAGGCCATCAGAACTATGCAGCCAAAAAATAGAGAAAAAATATCATTAAGCATGTCAGGCAGTTAGTTAATAAAAATATAATTTTCTGGACTTTGTGATCTTTGTGGCAATGAGATTTTTTAAATTTTATTTTATTCAAGTACAGTTGATGTACAATGTTATATGTTACAGGTGTACAATATAGTGATTCACAATTTTTAAAAGTTATACTCCATTTATAGTTATAAAATATTGGCTATATTCACTGTGTTGTACAATATATCTTTTTTTTAATTTTAAATATCTATTTTATTTATTTATTTGGTTGTGCTGGGTGAAATACAGTGAAATGCACAAATCTTAAGTGTGTATTCACTGAGTTTAAGGATGTCTGCCCAGCAGACATCCACTAGGAGGAAGGCATTGGGGAACACCAGCAGAAAGTTCCCCTCAGGGGCTTCAGGGACTCTGCAGTATTTGCAGCTGACATTGCTGCAGTGAACTGGACCCAGAGCAGGAGAAGTGCGAAGAGATGGGAGAGGCAACCTGGGAGTCAAGAGGGATTCCCCTTGGGAATGATCTGACTACTCCTTGTTCTGTTCAGGTTCTTGGGATTTGCAAGGGGCAGGAATGGAAACAGGAAATGCTCAGTAAGTGTGTGTTAAATGGATGGATGAATCAATGAATGAAGGAGTGAGCACCTGCCTGCCACAGGAGTCTTCTTTCATCACTCGTGTCTTTTTGGAGCCTCCTCTAGCTTTGCAGGAAGGAGCAGATCTGGGGCATGACTCTTGGAGTCCTGTCCAGGAGAGGAATACTGAGTGAGCAAAGGCTGTGAACCCTACGTATCCTCCTCCCAACCCCTCACACAACTCCAGAGGGCACTGAGAGTTTCTGCTTGGTTTGTTTCCTGTCTTTCCCGTCATCTTTAATAGCATTCAACTGAAACATTCATTACCTCTCCCTTTTCTACACTAAACCCTTGAATAAAGCAAGTAGGACAGAAATCAATACAGCTAATCATAACAGCCAACTCTCTCTCTCTAATATATATATTTTTTGGCCTTGCTGCACAGCATGCGGGATCTTAGTTCCCAGACCAGGGATCTTAGTTCCCTGACCAGGGAAACTGTTCCCCCTGCAGTGGAGGTGCGGAATCTTAACCACTGGACCACCAGGGAAGCTCAACTCTTTTTCTTTTTTTTTTTAAATTTATTTATGTTTTGGCTTCTTTGGGTCTTTGTTGCTGCGTGCGGGCTTTAGTTGCGGCGAGTGGGGGCTACTCTTTGTTGTGGTGTGCGGGCTTCTCATTGCAGGGGCTTCTCTTGTTGCGGAGCATGGGCTCTAGGCGCCCGGGCCTCAGTAGTTGTGGCGTGTGGGCTTCAGTAGTTGTGGCTTGCGGGCTCTGGAGCGCAGGCTCAGTAGTTGTGGCACACAGGCTCAGCTGCTCCACGGCATGTGGGATCTTCCCAGACCAGGGCTTGAACAGGTGTCCCCTGCATTGGCAGGCGGATTCTTAACCACTGTGCCACCAGAGAAGTCCCTGAACAGCCAACTTTTATACAGTGTCTACAATGTGCTAGTCTCCGTCTCAAATTTCCTACCTATTTAATTAATTTAATACTTTAAAAGGTAGGTGCACATTTTATCATGCCATTATGCAAGTGAGGAAAGTGAGTTAACAGAGAGGTTTAGTAACTTGCCCAGGGCCACCCATCTGGTAAGCAGTTCAGCTGAGATTTGAACCAGGAAGTCCATGCTAAGAGCCCATGCCCTGAAACACTATACCTTTTCTTTGGCATGTACGATACATGTGTGTGTTAACTTCATTGAAACAGAACATAAAACACAGTCAAGTGCACACATCAAGTGTGTGACTCAGTGAATTTTCACAAAGTGAGAACACCTGTGTAATAGCAACCCCCCCCCAAAGAACAGAACACTACCAGCCCCCCCCCCAGGAGATCCCAACATACCCCACCCCAGTCTCTACCCCTTCCCCACCAAGGGAAACACTCTCCTGAATTCTCTCACCTCTCTCCTGGGGGTTTCTTCCTTGTCTGTCTATTTTAATCACACTGTATTTCAAGTATCGTGGGGTCTGCTGCTAAAGTTAAAAATATTCTCTTTTGCAGGAGTGGAAGTGAGGGTGGTGGAGGGAACACATTCCCTAGATAAGAGAAATGACTGAGGGTGGGAAAGTTAGGGGCAGTTCTCCATCTCCCCTCATTCTCTTTGCCGGTAAGTGTGAGGCTCTGCCCTTTTCTCCATCCTTCTCTCCCAGGACTACATCTCCCAGCAGGCTGTGCTCTGACAGCTCTCGGATTTAAATAGGATTCTGGGCTACGCTTAGAGCCAGGCTGTTGCTGAACACCCAGGAGCGAGAGGAGCTGGAGGAAAGAGAAGCAGCAAGAAGCAGCCAAGAGTTGGAGCCAGACCAGGTGGAGCCCGAGCCAGAGTTGGAGTCAAAGTTGCTCTTGGTAAAGCAGCAGCAACTAAAGAAGTTGAAAAGATGCTGGTTTTCTTGGGACTGCTCACCTCCTTCCTTTCTTTCCTGTATGTGACAGCTCCATCCATCAGGTTTGTCTTAATTCAGTAACTCATTCAATAGTTTACAAAGCCCTGAATTGGGAGCCACGGAGCTTGTAAGAAGATGAGTTCTTAGCTGCTGAAGGAAGAGAAAGGGATGGAGGCCAAGGGAGAGAAAGTCAGGCAGGAAAAGCAGGAAGGAAGGAGGTAGTTATGAATACTGTGGTGGGAAACGAGAAGGAAGCACCTGGGGCTGGGAGAGGAGGGGCGGGTTTGAATTCTGATGCTAGTGGAAGGCTGAGTGGATGACTCTGTTAAGTAGCTTGACAGACATCTTATGGGGGAGTCCTTGCTCTTTCACTCCATTCCCTTGGGTTCCTCTGAAGGTCTCCCTTTCTTCACTGTCCCTAGTCAAGGTGGCCCTGCTGCATTACGGTGGGTGGTCATTGCCGAGGGACTCAGTTGTTAAGTACCAGGCATCTGGGGAAGGGAACACACTCTCTTCCCTTTGAGACTATCCTCAACTAACATTTTGGGTTGGCTCTTTTGCTATGGAAGATTTCTGGAGATGTCAAAGAAATGTGTGTTATGAGTAGAGAACTTTTAAATTGTTGATGATAAAGAAGGTTAAATGGACATATCAGAGACAGAGTGTTGCTCTAGGTCCCGTCATAGAAAGCTGGGTTTGGGTTCCAGTTTTGCCACCATTAGCAAGTGACTTGAACTTCTCTGAGCCTCAGCTTTCTCCACTGTAATGTGGGGATAATAACAGAGTGGTTGAGGGAATTAAATTCCCTTGGAAAATGCCTAGCCTAGTGCTTGGCAGTTGGATGATGCTCAGGTGATGTTAGCTTTACTTCCTCCCGTCCTATTTTTGGGAACTTATCAAGTCAACTCTATGTAAAAGGATGCTCTCTGCACAGAGGTCTGAACAAGGGAGGTTTTCTCTCTGTGCATGGATGGCGAGTATGAAATCTCTAGTGGGATGGCAGAATATTCTGGCTCTCTAAAACTGGAGAGGCAGCCCAAGAGCCATATTTCTATATGGGACCCTGGAGGTGCTGTTCATCAGTTACTCACCATTGATGCTTATTGAAGGTGAGGGGTCAGGACCACTGATTCCACTAATGCCCATCCCCCTCGTGTTTTAAGGGCAGGATAGAGAAGGAAGATGACCTCTGGGAACCTCTAGAGATAGGAGCGAGGTATCTTTGTTGTTTAACAAGGAACCATTGGCCCTGGCTCAAGAGAACTTATTCTATTTGCCCACATGATCATTTGTAGCTTCCCTGCACGTGACCTCCCAAGCTGAGCTGATAAGCAGGAGACTGCCTTGCCCACTGGGGAGACGCTGTCCGCTGAAGATTAGCTTCTTTAAGTCTCCTGACAAACAAAAAGAAATCCCTCTTTGAGGCTGGGTGGATTTTATGTATCTCAGTCTGGGATTGGAAAGGATGGTGCATAAATGTTTTGTTTCTCTTGCCTGTAGGAAGTTCTTTGCTGGTGGGGTCTGTGGAACAAACGTGCAGCTTCCCGGGAAGGTGGTGGTGATCACCGGTGCCAACACAGGCATCGGCAAGGAGACAGCCAGAGAGCTTGCTCGCAGAGGCAAGTCCTTCCTTTCCATTTCCACAGGGCAGCACCTCCTGTCTTTCTCACTAGGAACTCTACTCATGTTCCCTTATCTTTCCTCCTGGGCTTAGAAATTCTGGTCAGGAACTCAAGGAACCTGGGATTCAAGTCCAGCTGTGACACCAACTTACTCTGTGGCTTAAACTTTCCTTCCTTCCTGCTCCTTCCCTATTTATATAAAGTAAGGAAAACAATGATGTCCGTGTATAATATTGGTCAGGTCAGTTATTCTAAAAGGAGATCCCAAGCCATGTTAAATATCAGGGTGTAAAAACCAGGGTTCCCAGCCTGGGGTTAAGCTGATAGCAAGGAGAATCTGGAAGCGGCAATTTAGCCACTCACTGCTTTAGGGATGGTGCGGGGAATGCTCTGTCCACCAGTCCCAAACTCACTTCCTAGACTCTTCTTCAGCCCAGGGTCTGAACACATTGCTGCCTGTTTGTTTTGGCCCCAGGAGCCCGAGTATACATTGCCTGCCGAGACGTACTGAAGGGGGAGTCTGCTGCCAGTGAAATCCGAGCTGATACAAAGAACTCCCAGGTGCTGGTACGGAAACTGGACCTAGCTGATACCAAATCCATCCGAGCCTTTGCTGAGGGCTTCCGGGCAGGTGAGGCCCTGGGGGGTTAGAAAGGCAGGAAGCTGGGTGTGGGAGTGGCTGCTCCACCCTGGACCAGCTCTGACCTTTACATCAGACCCATCATGGATTCCACTGCACAGGTTCTGCCACACGAACCAGCAGGGCAGGGAATTGGCACGGGGATGGCGGGTGGACAGGCTGGGCAGGATCCTTGCCTCAGCAGTGGGAATGGTGGAGGTGACAGCTCCCTGCCTGGGCTTGTACCTTGCCATCGAGGTGTGGCCCTGATGCCACTCTCTTCTTTCATCCTGAGAATCAAACTTCTGTGGCCATAGGCACAAGAGGAAGTTGTGCTGCTGCCAATATTCTTCTGTATCTTGGAAAATGACCATCTTCTATCAAGGACTATGAAATCCATGAGGGACAGGAACCATGTCTGTCTTATTTTACCACTGTATGCCCAGTGCCCAGCCCAGCTCAGAGTCAGTACTAAGTACACATTTGCTGAATGAATGAATGGTGTCCAGGAAGATAACAGCAACTAAAATTAGAAACCCAGGACTTCCCTGGTGGCGCAGTGGTTAAGAATCCGCCTGCCAATTCAGGGGACACGGGTTCGAGCCCTGGTCCAGGAAGATCCCACATGCCGCGGAGCAACTAAGCCCGTGTGCCACAACTACTGAGCCTGTGCTCTAGAGCCCGCGAGCCACAGCTACTGAGCCCACGTGCCACAGCTACTGAAGCCTATGCACCTAGAGGCTGTGCTCCGCAACAAGAGAAGCCACCACAATGAGAAGCCTGCACACCGCAATGAAGAGTAGCCCCTGCTCGCCACAACTAGAGAAAGCCCGTGCCTAGCAACAAAGACCCAATGCAGCCAAAAATAAATAAATAAATTTATATATAGATAAAAAATTAGAAACCCAATGACAGTGGCTACTGAATATCACTGAGATAGGTCCAAACGCAAGGAACAAACACTCAGGACTGGCAGCTAGCTGACTCCTTGCTAACCACATGGTCTCCTTGGTTGTGTTCTTTAGAGGAAAAGCAGCTTCATATTCTGATCAACAATGCAGGAGTGATGATGTGCCCATATTCCAAGACAGCTGATGGCTTTGAAACCCACCTGGGAGTCAACCACCTGGGTGAGTATCTTAGAGTGAGTGAAAAGCGAGGCATATGCCATCATGTTCTCTGTAGGGAGATGACCCTGTACCAGTGCTGAGGATCTCCACTGGTCCTCATAGAGACCAAGATTCTGCTAGACTGGAGGTATTGGTTTTTCTTTCACTATCTCTCTCCTAACCAGTACAAAAAAGAGAGCTTATCCTACTCATACCGTTAAGAAACCCCAAACATAGGAGATACCAGGAAGAAGAAGGTCCTTCTTGAATGGGACTGTGGTAATGCAAGACTTGCCAAGCAGGGTCACGAGTGGGGGTGAAGTCCGTGTTTGGCTGGGGGGGGGGTCATATCTATAACTGAGGACCAAGCAAGCAAGGGTTGGTCCATCGTGGAGGCAGACCTTGAAGACTTGAGGTATGAGAGAGGCTAGTGTTCACAGCTCGAGGCAATGGCTCTAGTGAGGGGATCACAGAACAGGTTCTCTGATCCTCGGCAAAAGTTATTTTCCCTGACTATTCCAACCTTCCTTCTGTACATGCCCACAGTTGCGTGATCATAACCAGACGGGGGATGTCAGAAGCTAGCAGTTGCTCCTGACCGGGGCAAGGAAACAGGAACAAATAACAACAGATTATGTATATATTGCCTTACCTGGAGTCCAGCTCTGGCCCTTGCCTTGAGGACTCCACTAACTCAGACTGACTGACCATTAACACTGTTACTCATGGTATCAAAATGTTCACACCCAGAAGATAGTGAGCTAGTGATGAAGCCCTGTCATACATCAGCTCCCACACCCCGAGCCCAGGCTGCTGTTCCACTCTTCAATCTCCTCTGCTGGCTCTCCTCACAGGCCACTTCCTTCTCACCCACTTGCTCCTGGGGCAGCTGAAGGAGTCCGCTCCTGCACGGGTGGTGAACCTGTCATCAGTGGTCCACCATGCTGGCAAGATTCGCTTCCATGACCTCCAGGGTGAGAAGTCCTACAACCGGGGTTTTGCTTATTGCCACAGCAAGCTGGCCAATGTGCTCTTTACTCGTGAGCTGGCCAAGAGGCTCCAAGGTAAGTCTAGAGAAAGGGCCAGGGTTAAGAAGCAGGGGCTTCAGTCCAGATTAGAGGTTCACAGAAACTTCTGAAGTCAGGATGTCAAACGTGCACATTTCAGTGGCAGCTCTGTGCACTAAGGAGAATGAGGTTATAAAACTGAGTAAAAACAGAGTCCTTGCCCTTGGGAAGCTTAAAACTGGACAGAGGTCAGGAACCTATAAACCTTATGTGCTTTGTCACATCTTATTTCATATTTATCATCTCATCTGATTTTTCACAACAACCTCTTGCAACAGGCAGAGTAGGTATTGTTTTCACTATTTTATGGGTCCAAACTGAAGTCCAAAGAAGCGGCCGGCCCTAGATTATATGGCAAGTGAAGGAGTGAGGACTGGAAAGTGGGGACTCTGCTTTAAGCCAGGTGCTTCCTTTGCTATGCCAGTTGCTGAGGTTTACAGGGTGAGCTGAGCTACAGAGCCGCCACTCACTGCCTGGAGTCAGGGTTTCAGATACTTGGGTCTGAGTTCTTGCTCTACCACATAGTAGCCACGTGTGTCTACAAACATGTCCCTTTAACCTCCCTTGACTTCTCCCCTCAACTGTAAAATGAGGTGAGGCCACTCTTGATCCTATGATTCTGTGCTGCCCTGGAGTTTTTGCTGAGCTTCTGACACTGACATCTGTGAATATGGAGGACCATTTGCTACAGTGAGTAAGCCAGAGTTTGGGGAAAATGGTATTTACTATCAGAATGCAGAAAGTAGAAGAATAGGGTAATCATTTAAATGAATACTAATAATGACAACAATAATTGAGAGTTTGTGTGTGCTGTATACTATCTGTGTCTCAACACTATTCCTATGAGGTAGGTGCTATGATTTTTCCCCTCCCTACAAAAGAAAAGGTAGGCGCAGATATCTTGAGAAACTTGCCCGAGCAAGATATATTAATTCCGAGGCGAGCCAGGATTCAACTCCAGGCAATCTAGCTCAGAAGTCTATGCTCTTTACTCTACATCGAGGTTCAGACCTTGGCCCTGCAACCAGCCAGGTGTGACCTTGGGCAATTTACTTAACCTGTCTGTGATGAGAACTCAGTTTCCTCAGCTGTAAATGGGCTTCTTAATATTACCTACCTCATGAACCTCTTTGAGAGTCAAATGAGATAACACTTAAAACATGTAGCACAGCCCTTGTACGTAATAAGTACTAAAAACAGTGGAGGCGGCAGGGGTGTCTTGGGGGCATGTTAACTCTCATCATTTCCATCAACACCCCTCAATCTACACCTCATAAAATGTGCTTGCCCGGCAAATGCAATTCACAACAAGGTCCTAGCTTCCTACCTTCTAACAGGATTGCTGCCCCTAAGACCCTCCAATAGAAATTCCAAAGATACCATTTAAGCCAAAGATTAAGATGACACTAAAATAGAAGGATGTTCAACCAAGCATTCCTTTTGGAGCATAGAAGGCTGAGAAGGCTGTAGATCTTTCTGGATAAGATCAATTAATTACTCATGAGATTCTACCTGGCTAGAGGTGGTGTCTTCTGAACACTGGGGTTCTGTTTCCCAAGTCCTTTCTTCTCAATCGTGCATGTTGCTGCAGGAGATGAGCTGTCTCCACGGCCTCGGAGTGTGTCTCTGGTCTAACTGTGCCCTTTTTGCCCTAGGCACGGGGGTCACCACCTACGCAGTGCACCCAGGCATCGTCCGCTCCGAACTGGTCCGACACTCCTTCCTGCTGTGCCTGCTCTGGCAGCTCTTCTCCCCCTTCCTCAAGACGGCAAGGGAGGGGGCCCAGACCAGCCTGCACTGCGCCCTGGCTGAGGGTTTGGAGCCCCTGAGCGGCAAGTACTTCAGGTGCGCAGAGGCCACATGCGTTCTCCCCATCACCTGTGTGTATGGTGAGGCAGGCATAGGACTCCCTGGGCTTTGCACCCGCAGTGGCCAAGTTTGTGCCTGATGGGGGAATCCAGGTTCACGTTGGGCCAGTAGACCAAATGCTGTTACTTTTCTAAGGAAACTTACATTTGAAACATGGCAAAAGTTGGTTTTATGGCTCTGTTTCAAACCTGTGTGCCACATTTCCAGGTAAGCCTTTGTAGAGCCTTTTTCTCTTCCTTGAAGCTTTTGGCTGACTTCCTTCATGAATTTTTAAATGACACATAGCACGAAACTCCAGGGCAAAGTCACCTGTCCCTAGTGTGAACTCTAGGGACACTTCTCCCAAAGCTGCGAAGACTGGCACTATCTGTTGGAACATAAAAATAGACATTTTGATGTTGAGGTTTATCACAAACTCAATGGGCAATCAGAGTCTGGGAATATAGGGAAGCCCAGGATTACATTTCTTCCCATTCCATGACTTGATCCAGCCCAGTCTGCTTTTCTGTCCCACTTTGTTCAAGATGGTTCACTGGTACACCATTTATTAAGGGAAGCATTGGAAATAGCCTCAGTGTCCAACAATTGGGGAATGGATAAATGATCATAGCTAATGTTGCTTGAGCTCTTACAACATGTTTGGCACTCTTCTAAGTTTTACGTGTATTAATTCGTATAATCATCACAACTCTGAAAGGTAGATCGTATTATTGTCCCCATTTTACAGATGAAGAAACTGAGGCACAGAAAAATTAGCTTGCTCAGGGTCATATAGTTTATAAGCGGTAGGCCTGGGATTTAAACCCAGGCAGCCCGGCTCTAGAGCCGTGCTGTTCAGTGTGGTTGCCACTAGCCATATATGGCTACCGAGCACTTGAGATATGGCTAGTCCAATCTGGGACATACTGTGCGTGTGAAATGTACAGCAGATTTTGAAGACATAGTGTGAAAAACAGAAATGTAAAATATCTCATTAATTTTTATATTGATTACATGCTGAAATAATTTGGCTATGTTGGGTTAAATAAAATATACTACCAAAATTAATTTCACCTATTTCTTTTCACTTTTTAAAAAAATACTTTAAAATTTCTATTGGGAAATTTAAAGTTACACATGTGGTTCACATTTGTAGTTCGCATCATATTTCTACTAGACAATGCCGCCCTGGAGTCTGGGTGTTTAACACCCCTCCTTAATCATGTGATAAAATATAATACAGTCACTATATAAAAGTATTTTTGAATAATATTCAATTAATGGGAAAATGTTAGTGATATAATATTATCAGAAAAAATGAAATATAGAACTATATAATTATTCACTGTAAATGCATAGAAAACAGTCTGAAAGGATACACAGCAAACTGCTACACAGTAGTAGTTACTTCCAGGGAGATTGAGGAAGAGTCGGGGGGCGGGGGGCAGCGTGAAGGAGGATTTTAACCTTTTACTCCAGGTATTCCTTTATTATTTAAAAATAAATTTTAAAGATTATATATTAATTCATTACTTGTAAAATTAAAATTGTACATTTTTAACAAGAGAAAGGTATCCTCCCCAAACTAGGTACAGTATGATCCCAGTTTTTTTTAAATTAATTTTTAAATTTTTAAAATTTATTTTTGGCTGTGTTGGGTCTTCATTGCTGTGTGTGGGCTTTCTCTAGTTGTAGCGAGAGGGGGCTACTCTTCGTTGTGGCACACAGGCTTAATTGCGGTGGCTTCTCTTGTTGCAGAGCACAGGCTCTAGGTGTGTGAGCTTCAGTAGTTGTGGCTCGCAGGCTCTAGAGCACAAGCTCAGTAGTTGTGGTGCATGGGCTTAGTTGCTCCGCGGCATGTGGGATCTTCCTGGACCAGGGCTGGAACCCGTGTCCCCTGCATTGGCAGGAGGATTCTTAAGCACTGTGCCATCAGGGAAGTCCAAAACTTCTATTTAAAGAAAAACACCATGACCAGTGTGCTCTGCCCCAACCCTGCTCACCCCAAAACAAAACAGGGGTGCTTAGTCGGGTTCATGGGACACAAGGGGTCTGTGGATAGAATTTAAGGGGTCTTCAAACCTGGATGGAAAGATAATTTCATCTTTAGTTTCACTAACCTCCATCTGAAATTTGCCATTTCCTTTGATTATGAATGTAGGAAGTGAACTGCAGTAGTAGTGATACTGGTGACTTTGTCCCCAAGAAAACTATAAATAATTTCATGTCGCATTGCAATTGTTGCAGATACCTCAGGATGTCACTTCTCGCCAATACTTTGAAATCTGGTAGTGATTAGACCCAGTGCTAGCTCTTCTAATAGAACACATTACTATACCACACATTGTTTTTAAAATATTTTATACTTTATATAAGATAGATAACCCTCAAGGACTTACTGTATAGCATGGGGAACTCTACTCAGTATTCTGTGATAACCTATATGAGCAGAGAATCTAAAAAAGAATGAATATATGTATATGTATAACTGAATCACTTTGAGGTACACCTGAAACTAACACAACATTGAAAATCAACTACACTCCAATAAAATTAAAATTTTTTTAAAAGTCAGTACAAAAAAGAAAAGGAAATATTTTAAAACTGCATTTCAATACAGCTAGTTTCTTTTTATCTAATGTATTTTATTACACATTTAGAAATATATTCTGAAGAAGAGGACATAAACTTTTCCAGACTATCCATTTTCACTCCTGGATGTTCACCCCCTTTCTATGCCCTCCAGTGACTGCAAGAAGACTTGGGTGTCTCCAAGGGCCCGGAATAACAAAACGGCTGAGCGCTTGTGGAACGTCAGCTGTGAGCTGCTGGGAATCCAGTGGGAGTAGAGCTGGTGGAATAGGCACAGCTGTATGAGGCTCAGTCCACGCCATAAGGAAAGGGGACCGAGGAGAAGGCCCACCCTGCAGGATTGTCCTGGCTGGCTGCTGTTGCGAATTCTGCCCTGCTCTGATACTCCTGACCCTTCTAGAAATCTTCGCACACCCAACCCTCTCGTGAGGCTGGCTCATGGCACGAGACAGTCACACCTACAGAGTATTCTTCTCCAAGATTTGCAGAGTCGGCCACCCTCTCGGACCAGAAGGACTGGGCAGATGCCAGGCTGGGCACAGGGATGGCAGAAGAACCTGGGAAATTGGGTCAATTTCCTTACCAAGACCAGCTAGCACGCTCAGCTGAGGTGACAGGAGCATCAACGTCACTTCTTTCCAGGGACTATAGACTCAAAAACTCTTGACTGATCTCTTTCCTCTTTGAAACATTAATCTGGAGTCTGGACCAACTCAGGAAAATCTTGGCTCAACCTTGGCCAATTTTAGTTCCTTCCTCTGAGCATCCTGGAGCAACGATGTAAAGCTGGACCTTCCTGTTTTCTTTTTCCAGTACTTTAAAAAAAATTAAAAACAGATTTTTTCAGCTTTACTGAGATATAATTAACATATTGTGTAAGTTTGGACCGTCCCATTTTCAATGTAGATGGTTTCTTTTTCTAAAGAGTTCCCTTTTACCTCAATTTTTAGAGAAAATAAAGACTGCACATTCACCTTATTGCCTTATTTATTCTCTCAGGGTAGCAAGGGAGAAATGAAACCAAGTTGTTGTTTTTGTTCTGTTTTGTTTTGTTTTATTATTTATTTATTTATTTGGCTGCACCGGGTCTTTGTTGCTGCGTATGGGATCTTTGTTGTGGCGTGCAGGATCTTTAGTTGCAGCATGTGGGATCAAGTTCCCTCACTGGAGATCAAACCCGGGCCCCCTGCATTGGGGGCACAGAGTCTCAACCGCTGGACCACCAGGGAAGTCCCAAAACCAAGTTTAATGAGTACTATCTCACCCTACCCAGCCACCCATAACCTTCTTATAATAGCTCCTCTGGGTGCAGAATAAGATGGTTCAGTTGAGTATTTTCTCCAGTTTCTTCCAGCTCTCACATTTGATTATCTAAGAAGTGACTTAAATTATACAGATGCTGAGCTTCACTATAGATTAAGCCCAGAGGTAGTAGAGGACTTCATTTAATTTGATACACAGATGCAGAAAAACCAAGCTCTGATAAACCCTCTGCCTAAAATCATAGCTCTTTTCTCTTTTGGCCTCCCTGCTCTCCTCTGCTGTGGCCTTGGGTGACCTGTTTCTTGCCTTAAGTGCTGAAGTTCTCCAGGAAGAACAGAGAGACATGCCAAATCTTTTAGCCAATTGACCCAAGAAGTTATGTTACTGCTTCCAGTTTGAAAGCATCCAAAGGGCATGTGGTGACAAAAATTCCCTTTCCTTCCATAGCAAGTAGACTTAAAAAACAAACAAAAAACCATTTTACTATGGAAATTTTCAAATAGATGAAAGTAAAGCAAATAGTATCATGAAAAACCCCACGTACCTACCTGTCACCCAGCTTCAACGTTGTTAACATTTTGTCAATCTTGTTTCATCTATTTCCCCCATAACATTTTTTGGGGGGTTGGGTAGATATTTTATTTTTAAAATTTATTTATTTTATTTTTGGTTGCGTTGGATCTTCGTTGCTGTGCACAGGCTTTCTCTAGTTGCGGCGAGCAGGGGCTACTCTTTGCTGTGGTGCGCGGACTTCTCATTGTGCGGCTTCTCTTGTTGTCGAGCACGGGCTCTAGGCGTGCGGGCTTCAGTAGTTGTGGCACATGGGCTTAGTTGCTCCATGGCATGTGGGATTTTCCTAGACCAGGGCTGGAACCTGTGTCCCCTGCATTGGCTAGGCGGATTCTTAACCACTGTGCCACCAGGGAAGCCCAAATACAGTAATTTTAAACAAACGTTGCCAAAGGGGAAAGGGAAGGGGGAAGGACAAATTAGGAGTATGAAATTAACATATACAAACCACTATATATAAAATAGATAACAACAAGGATTTACTGAATAGCACAGGGAACTATATTCAATATCTTGTAATAACCTATACTGGAAAAGAATCTGAAGCTGTACACCTGAATCTTACACAACATTTTATTTATTTATATTTAAATTTTTAAATAAATTTATTTATTTTATTTATTTATTTTTGGCTGCTTTGGTTCTTCGTTGCTGTGCGTGGGCTTCTCATTACGGTGGCTTCTCTTATCGCGGAGCATGGGCTCTAGGCGTGCAGGCTTCAGTAGTCGTGACACACGGGCTCAGCAGTTGTGGCTCATGGGCTCTAGAGCGCAGGCTCAGTAGTTGTGGCGCATGGGCTTAGTTGCTCTGTGGCATGTGGGATCTTCCCGGGCCAGGGCTTGAACTTGTGTCCCTTGCATTGGCAGGTGGATTCTTAACCACTGCGCCACCAGGGAAGCCCTAACACAACATTTTAAATCAAATGTAGTTTAATAAATAAAATTAAAAAACAAAAACAAATATAGCCATTTTTATCAAATTGGAATCTTCTCTCTCTAGAACATCTTTTTCAGAGAACAGAATGCTAACAACATTCAAAAGATTGTTCTTTAAAATATATGGAATCCTTAGAGTGTGTGTGTTTGGAATCCTTTGGGCTATTACATTTTATACTTTTTTGTTTGCCAGATTACTTGCTAGTATGATTGGCTTAATGAAGTTCATCCGATTCTTGACTTGTATCAAATATCTGAAGTCTGAAATTTGAAAAACCTCTTTGTATTTTTTCTAAGAGACTCAGAGAGCTTGGGGCCAATTGCTGGGGGCAGGGGGCTGATAGCCTCAGTCTGGAGTACAGGGTCTGGGGAATGGCAACTGAGCAGGGCCTAGGACTCAGGATCAAGCTAGAAGCTTGAATATAGAATCCTCAGAGTCTGTGAATGCTAGAAGGGGCCCATCTAATTTGGGGAGGTAGATGAAAGCAATCTGAGTGGGAATCTGACACCCAAGAGGGAAGGACAGCCTAATGGCCTTAGGAACTTTGTAAGATGATGGCTGACCTTAAGGTCATGGTGTTTGGTGGAGAAATACTTCCTCTTGAGTTTTAGGGCAGGGGTTGGGGAAGATGGCGTTCCCTGCGTTATCACCTAACCCTGGTCTCTGGAAAACACAGAAATTGCCCCAATTCTGCTTCCCTAGTCCTAACTTCCATACTGTAGATTCCCTCACTTCCTGAAGAATGACTCTACTTGAAACATGCCTCCTTTCCTGCCATCCTAGGCAAGTGGCATAGCTTAACCAGTTCAAGGAGGTACAGGCTGGAGGTGGTTACTCCTGACCACAATGCTATGCTGCTTCTCATTGAAAGAAGTCTGTGAAATATTATTTGGCCAGGGAAAATATTTTAAATTGGAAGTTTTCTCTCCTATCAAATTTTCGGATGCGTTTATACCTAACAGCAGTGATGCCAACTATGGGAGAGCTGAGAAGCAAAGAATGCAAAAAAACAGAAAACAAAACAAAACAAACAAAAAAGCCCAAAGAGGTGTGGGTATTGACTTCACATTTTGTTGGTATTTTCGGGCTATTAAGCAATCATTGTTTCCCTTTCTCCCTTGTTCAGATTCCGGACTCCGTCACTGCTCGTGGCCTCTGGGTGCTCCCATGAGACAGCCTCCCTCAACACTACTCCCCTTTTGGAATCCTCTCATGCACAGGCTTCATCTTGCTTCTGTGTAGCTCCCTGCCCAGCACCAAAAATGTTGTCTCATATGTTCAGCCTGGGCAAGGAATAAGTACCAGCCTTGGCCTCTTGCTATGTTTCCTGAAGAGACTTGCCCCAAGGTCACCACCACACAAGGGAAAGGCCTTGGCTCAGCACAGACAAGGCTGGGAATCCAGTGGCTGAGTCACCCTTCCACTTTCCCATCTCTGCTCCCTAGATTCTCCCATGACCACAGAGCCATCTGCCTTCCAGTCTGTGTGTGCTATAAATATGGCTTCCAGGCTTCCTGGCTTCCTGGAAGAGTGCTCCTTACAATACAGGAGACAAAATCATGGATGAAGGCCCAGGAATGACAGTCACCGTGGATTTCTCTGCTCCTAGGTGTCTCTCCAGCTGCCCCAGGTCACTGCCTTCACTATTCCTGGTTTCTGTTATGCTTTGAGACTCTCAGCCAGCCTAGCCCAGGTGAGGAAAATCTTTCCCTTTGGCTCCACTGAGATTGGCTTACATTTCTTAAAAGTAAAACTTGTCTGGGAAACCACAGGGAAAGGAAATCAAAGAGACATATGAAAATTGAGAAGCAAACAGTTCCAGACCACGGATTACCTAAGCGATGACTAGCTGCCGCAGATGACCTTAGCTGGCACTTGGTCCTTGTCCAGTTCAAGCCTGTGCTATGTGTCACCATGCCTTCAAGCCCTGGAGGATCTACCTTGTGTGTTTGGCCTCTTTTACAAAACAGACACCCACTTTGAGCAATCTTAGGCCAAACAAAAACATGGAATATTTTGCTCATAAATTCAAAGACGGGTTGAAACTGAGAAGTGGGAAAGGGCAGGGATAGATCTCAGAAATAACTAGAACTCCAGAATCAAGATTCCTATATATGTGCCTTTCTCTGGAGGTGGGCTTCATTTCAGAGTAAGTGGCAAAACACTCGGCTGTTGAAAACTCTCAAGCTTTACACCTTGCGGTTTTTACCATTGAAGAGGCACTGCAGCTATTTTCTATTTTTAGTATTTAAAGAATCTCAGGTTTGGCTTGGGTCTGATGCTCACTAGGAAGCATTCAGCTATGGTGGGGGGGGGGGAAGAGTCATGTGAGAATGTGACAGCTGTAGAGGTCGCATTTCAAATCAGGGAGAAGAGAGTAGACTGTTCAATAAATGATGTTGAACAAATAGCTATCCAGGGACTTCCCTGGTGGTGCAGTGATTAAGAATCCACCTGCCAATGCAGGGGACACGGGTTCAAGCCCCAGTCCGGGAAGATCCCACTTGCCACGGAGCCACTAAGCCCGTGCACCATAACTACTGAGCCTGCGCTCTAGAACCCACAAGCCACAACTACCGAGCCCACGTACCACAACTGCTGAAGCCAGCGTGCCTAGAGTCCATGCTCCGCAACAAGAGAAGCCACCGCGATGAGAAGCCTGCGCATCACAATGAAGAGTAGTTCCCACTCACCGCAACTAGAGAAAGCCCACATGCAGCAATGAAGACCCAATGCAGCCAAAAAAAAAAAAAAAACACCTAAAAGTATTAGAAGAAAATATAGGAGTATATCTTTAAGATCTTAGAAGAGGGAAGGTCTTTTTGAGATCTGAAAAGCAAAAAGCATACAGGAAAAGAGGGATACAACTAAAAAACACACCAAAAATTAAGTTAAAAGTTGTGATGTTGATGGGTATTCTTGTAATTCAGGTCAGGTATCCTGGGAAATAGACTCTGAGATGGACATTTGCACACAGGGAGTTTGTGGGGAGTTCTCTTGGGATCAATACCTACGGGGGAGTGATGGAAGTAGGACTGGGCAAAGGGCAAAGTGGAACTCTGGTGCAGTCTCACGAAGGCTTAGACGATCCTGATCCCACAGGGAGCTCTGGAACTGAGTTGTCCTGAATTGAGGAAAGGAGGTTGACTTTTATTCCCCACACTGACCAGTCAGTGGATGTGGGCAGCTTCCAGGAAGGGGGCATGACC